GAAAGGAATGACAAGGACACATCGAAACCAGTCGCTAGACATTTTAATTTACCTAATCATTCTAAGCAACATATGGCAATCTGCGGTCTTTCCTTACACTTAGGTAGCACGGAAAGCCGTAAAAATCTTGAACAAAAGCTCATCTTTCAAACCGGCAGTCTAAATCCCACAGGGATCAACGAACGCTTTTCATTCCACTAATTTATTCTTGTTTTTCTCGTTGCCATGTTCCCACCAATAACGTAGCTCCATTTTCTGCCTTTAAAAGCACACACAACCCACAATTCCTCTATTCGCTCCGACGAAGGGCTAACGCTCGAAACGTCAGCTTTTGTAATCGTTGCGGTGGCCAATTTACCACTTCAACTTTGTTGATATATCCAAATTATATTGTGATAGAAGTGCACTATGAGTGCTACCTTGTATACCTAACAGTTACAATGAATATATGAAGTTCATATATTTTTTTCAGGTCTGATTTTTCGCTATTGCATAGATAGCGCTATCTACTGCGAGGATCGCGCATCATACATACTTAACAGTGTTTATCAGTAAAGCTTGATGACACATATAGACAGTGAGAGCAGAATCAACGCTTAAGAAAATGGTCAACTTCCTCGACAACATTAATCTGATTTACCTAATTAGTCTTTTTAGAAGCAAGCATAATCACTCGCCAAGGAAGTTCGATACTTCAATCAGGTCGATATGAAACTTCTCTGATATCTTTTAAAATGTACCCAGAGGCGGCCTAGAATATGTAAAAATATCCTTTGTGTATGGAACTCAATAAGGTCGAATGAGGCTTCTTCTGGAAAATTTGGAGTGTATGGGAGTCTTCGAAAAGAATTGTTACCTCCCAAATAAATCCCCGTATTAACTGAGTTACATTTTAAATCCCGTAATCTATTTCCATACAGGATCCTCTACGCATTACATATTTGGATAACCTTAATGCATTATTTTCGTGCGGCAATTAGGCCCAACGTATAATCCTCTCTTCTATCTTGGAAGCTTCTGAAAACAGCTAGAAATGGCATAGACAACAAAACTAAACAAAACATAAACTCTGCTATGTGTTTTTTTTTAATCACGCAATAATAAAGTATACTTTTTTCAGAACTACTTCCTTTTTTATAATCGAAAAAGCGACAACTTTTTACTAAGCTTTCACAAGTGGTGACTTTGTGTCCAGTGAAACCGTTAAGGGAATAAAGACGAGGAGACTGAGGAACATCCTGCTTCAATTCAGGGGCAAACACGCTTAGCGACAGCATTAGTTTTCGCGGCTCCTCCGCCTTCAAACCCTTCATCCAACGCCCACAAAGGCGCCAACTGCGAAATGTTTTTTTTAAAGAAACCAACAAGGACAAAATCGCGGAAAGAGTGTAAAGGTAACAAAACTTTCATCACGATGAGCTTCCACTCCATATTAAAATTTCAAACAGTTTTACTTGAGAAATACATTGACTGGAATTACTTGATACTCAATGTGGAGGAATACTAAGGAATGTAATCCAAGAGAAAGCGACTCTGAAAGTTACAAAGAAAAAAAGTAAACCATACTGCCCCGTTCGTCATTTCCACGAACGTGTATTTTACATGACTTGTACAATACTTAAGTGTTTTTTTCTTCCCAACATTTATTTTTTGTCCCTATAAGAGATCGATATTTAGTGAATCTCTAAAGAGAAATGTCTTTCCTCTTCGCAATTCCTTTTATGTTCAAAGAGCTCAAGGTTGTAATTCTATTAGAAACAATACGGTATAAAATTCCATAAATTTTTACTTTTTGAAAGTTCACCATTGTAGCAGAAGGAACAAGTGCTATAGGTTGCTATTCTTCTCAGAAAAAATCCCATCATATGCAAAACTCAAACTCTCCACTTTCACTTGGTATACAACCATGACTCTAGTTCTTTGAATTCTTTGACACGCCTGCAAATGGTGCTTCCCCCTTCTCATCTTGGACGAATCGGGGTGTTACGTACTTGATACGCATTTCCTGGGGACGACCAGGGGCCTGATAATGTAGGAGCTGGAGATAACAAGGGGTGCGCCTGGTACATACCACGAACAAACGCAGGTCTACTATAGTTTGGAAATCTGGGGTAAACAAATTGAAATCTGGTCGGGTTTGTAATGCCTCTCTGTGGGTACTGGTTCGACGCGTCTGGCATAAATTGAGGCAGAACTTTGATCTCCCTGTTTTGGAAGGAGGAATGTACAGGTTGTATTGGTGGAACCCTACGTGGATAAGGGTACGCATGGTCAGCATGATTCATAAGAGCATCATTTTTATCCAGGTCTCGGTTATGGTCGCGATGACTTCTTTCGGTGTAATGTCCGATTAGACGATTGTCTTCCGAGAAGATTGGTACAAAAACCTTATCGGGAGCTTTTGATTCAAGATCCTGGCATCCTCCAATGTAACTTAATGGTGGTCTGCGGCTCGATTTCCTTTGTTTGGAGGCCTTTTCTAACTCCGGTACGATTTTCTTCTTCCCAGTTATTGTCCTGTTGTAGGCGAGAATATCTCTGTCCACATCGTTGATGTCTCCTAAGGACTCAATCCTACCATGGAGATCCTTGTTACGTCTTTTGTCAGAACAACAATCCTTGTTCGTATCAAGTTGCACAATGATTTCAAGCTTTTTTGAGAAGTTCAGGTGACTTAAGGTAGAATTCAATAATTCTGTAGGCTTAGTGATCTTATCCTGTTTTAGATGCTTCGCCGTAAAAGCATTCCGCTCAGCAGACTTCAAACTGATATCTCTTGTTCCTACGGGGTTTGAGGCGCTCTTTTCTCCACTGGGTACGGTCTGGCTGCCACTTCTCCCTGTTTTTGGACTATTAAATCCACATGTTTTTACTGTATCTAAAGTATATGTTAGCTGTTTGTTATCACTCAAAGGTGAGTTCTTCAGGTCATTTGCGATTGGGTTCTTCGGGGACGCTTCTTGTTGCATACGGTTAGGGGTCACTGGTTTTTGCCCTATTACCACTTTAGCCTTAGGTGACTCATTCTTGCTTGACCGTAATTTATCTTCTAAGTTTACAGGAAGCCTCTCTTTTTTCGCGTGTAGGTGACATGATGAACAGTTAAAATTTGATCTTTGTTCCCTTTTTTCCTTAATCAAATCTTGATCCCGTCTTTTCTTGATCGGAGTTGAAACAAAGGTTACAGATTTCTTCTTCCCCTCATCTGCCGTGTTTTTCGCTTCTATCCTGGCCTTGTGTATTAATGTTACGCATGCATTCCCTCCATGTATCAAATCCACTCTTTCGTCTGCATTCGTTGCGTGTATCCAACTGTTCTGCGCTTGCTTGGATGGCAATCGCTTAATCGAGTCGTCAGTTTGTTGTTCTTTTCTTTGCCCTTCGAATTCCCTAAAGCAAGGCAGGTTACTAATACAATTGACTGTTCCTTGAGAAGCTAAGTCGTTTCTATGAGGTGTGTCATCTCCCTGAGAACGTGCTGAACATGTTGATTTATCTTGGCAATTTTCTGTTTCAACTTCCTCTTTCCCTTTCCATTGAGCTATACATACAAATTTTCCTTGTCGACTTTTAGTTTTCATTTCTCTTCCTCCCTGTGCCTCCTGCCTTCGCTTCCTTGATGGCTGTGTTTCTGTCGCAAACTTAACCTTTACCTCGTTACAACGACCCTCAGTAGTCTGGGATGTAGTGTTGTCTACGGCTTTAATCAAAGAACACGACTTAGTGTGAAGGTCCTTAAATGGACAGTTTACTCCCTTAAGAGAAGTTCCTAACCATTCATTATTTCTCTGTCGTGGTGATGCCAGACTGTTAGATACCCTTGATTTCTTTGATTGGATTGCGATCTCTTCGTTTGACAGTTTCATACTCAGGGACGCTGCTGGCTCTGAACATTTGTTTGATCGCCCAAGTATCGTATTAGTCTCTGTAAAGTGGGGTTCTTTCGGACTCGAGTCCACAAACATCTCAGAAGCCTCGGGAAAGGATCCAAAAATTTCCGGTAATTGACCCGTTTGTAGTTCCTCATCCGCCGTTTCAGAAACGGAGGCCACTGGGACCACCTGCTTAAAAGCCTCCATACTTCCAGAACCGGACAATGCTAAATTTCCTTTTGAACTGGCTGCTTTGTTTGGACATCTAACTCCTGGCGACCCAACTATTTCCGAATCAACATGGGAGCAATTCACGACTAACGGCTCACTAAACACCCCTTGCAATCTTTTTTCCAATAGTAGAGTTTCTTCTTCTGTAGTTCTAATTTCCTTGGTGAATTCTTCAGCTAAGTCGTCTTCAGAAGCGACGTTTCCTGGAAATTTCATAGTGAACGTTTCTACCGAACTCGGTGGTGAGCAAATTACTGTGACTGGTTCTGCAAATTCAGTGTCAATCGCTGACCAGATATCAGTAGGGTGATGCGGCTTGTCAAGTTCAGAATCTACATCACAAACTCGAACGCATCCATTTTCTTCAACATGCGAGGAATAACTTTCCTTTTTGAAATTACTTGACCGACCTTTAGAAGCCTTTTGTAATCCCCCGTCATGAAGCAAAGATGTTTCAATAACACCACCTAGTTGTGCTCCCGTATCTTCGTGGAAATCTACAACCTTTTCTTTAACCATGCATCTAAAGGCTGATGGTTTAGAGTCACTCTTTTCATTCATTTTGAAAGGCTGAACATCGCACTTTCCTCTACTGCAGGAGTTACCTTCTAACACTACAATTCCTACGTCATCATTAGGCGCTTCATTACCTTTTCCCGTCCAGTTAGGAGGTGAAGACCTCGATAGAGTCATCGAGGCACATTGACTTCCTCTCTCTTTGACAACACCCAAATCGTAATTTTCAAGATAGTTAGGCGTGTCTGTGAAGGAGTTTTGCCGCTGTTTGCACTGGACCACCGACAGTTTAGGAGATTTCAACGGCGAGTCGGAATTCAGTTCAAGATTTTCGCTCACAATATTTTTCGAATATCGCTGTGGTAAACAAAGGTATGGCCGTTTCCTATTTCAAAATTTCGTTCCAGCACTGTTTTTGGGATTCTTTACCATTACTTCCTCCTCGCGTTTACCACTTATCTGGAGAATTTCATGTTTTCCCGGATTACCACTTTCAAAACAAATGACTCCATCCAAACAAGCATCCTTTTCCCTTGCCGTCAACAAACTAGTATCAAAACCATCAAAACTATCCATTACCTCAGTTAATACTTCAGTTGAACTTTGCCTGGTGCCTTTCTCGGAGTCTACCGTGGTACATAGTTGTTCCAAGTCAGTGGCAAACACACAACACTGCTTCTCAGTTGCTTTACGATTCTCATTTCTGGTGAATTTTTGGCAAAGGCTCCTTTGACCAACGATGTTAGACGACGGTTTCTTTGAGGTCGATGTAATCATTAGTTTTGAAGTGCACTCAGCTCCGCCAGTTGGATTCAGAAAACTTGTGAAAGCTTTGGGCACGTGTTCGTTAACAGTTCTATGTAATCTCAAGCTTTGAGTAGGCAGTGGGCTTCCATAAGCAGCATTCTCAACGTACTTTGATTGTCTTGACGATGAATCGTAAGGTGCTAACTGCGAAGACTTGAGCACATCTGCATTGATAGCATGAAGATCATCGTGCACCTGAGGGATCTCTGTACTCTTGGTTCCTTTACATGCATTCTCCGTGGGCTCTTCATTAGAAGAGCACCTGAGGTCTACTTCCGTTGGCTGAATAGCCTGATTATCATCGTGGGGATGCGGCATTTCTGCACGGGTTTCTCTTTTCTTCAAGTCGTTCACATCTTCCAAGTTGACAAACTGAGGGAAGGCCTCGATATTACAGAAATCCGAGGTTTCAACGTGCGTTGATCTCTGGAGTTTTAAGAATCCTTCTCGGGATGCTGCTTTGCTCAAGGTGTGCAAGATGGCTTTGTCATTCAGGTATGACGAGTTAAAGTTCCAATTCTTCACACAAAAGCTTGAGCTATTACGATATTCATCTTCCAATGAATTAAAAGGCCTTTCCACTGAAGTTGTCGAATTGGAATCAGCTTTTTCACCTCGCGTCTGACCTCCTCATGCTGCTTTAAATGATTCACCACCTGGCTTTGACAGATCGGTTCTAAAATCCTCTCTAGGACTCTCCGAAATCGCTTCTCTCGTATCCTCGGCTTGAATTGTTTTCACAGGTGTATCAGAGAGAAATGGAATCCTTTCCCGATCGGGAAATAACACCAGCGGTGAGTCAGGCCAAAAAGGAAAGAAATTTGTACTTGTTGTTGGTGTGTGGGGCCGTTCATTTGGTGTTCTTGAGGATTTACTATTTGTCGAACCGTTTGACTGGATTATTGACTCTGAATTACCATTTTGAGCATTCGTCGAAACATTACGAAGCCTTCTCAAAGTCTTTAAACGAGAAAGGTTTAATACAGCTAACTTAGGCTTAGAGCTTTTCACGGTATCAAAGGATGCACACGAGACCGTTGAGTACTCTGGATTACTCTCAAGATGCTCTACGTCTAGACTATTACAAGAGCGCCCTTTCAGAGAATTGGCTGAGTTTATTTCATTCCCCTTTGAATCGGCATCTGGCATACGCGATTGATTCTTCAAACAATCTTCTTCAGTCGTGGACATGACATTATCGTTAGAAAAGTCTGATGACATTGTGGAGTCCATTGCGATGTCTCCCTGAAAAGCGACAGTACCAGAAGAACTGGCACTCCTCGACGTTCGTTGCAGACTCTTGCTGTCATTCCTAACGGGACTGTGTGAAAATGACAAGGATCGCTTAGCGATGTGACGAGGATGCGAGTGTCTAAGACTATTGCTCGGCGAGGATACTACAATTTTTGATTTGTGTCGTACGTTAAAATCTAAAGATGCCGGTCTTAAAATGGAGACAGGAGGCCAAACAGGAGTACTTGGTGATGACTGGGCGGAGCGGCTGACTGTTGGGGGAGTGAGCGGACAGACGGATGGTGGAAACGGGGATTGACGACGGCACACGATGCAAAACATCCTAAGTGGCTCCGCTACTGCGCAAAATCCTACAATGAAGAGAGCGTTTACTGTTAGCAATGGAAAAAACAACTTGCGCAGGTCCCGCAGTAATTGGCTACCCTCTGTTGCGGTTCCCCTGCCATACTTTGTAGTGGAGAAGTTAATAAACAAACAAATAAATAAATGAATCGATACGAAAATAGAAGTGCTTCATAATCAGTGTACAAGCGTCGTCACGCAATCGCTTGGCATTGTAATAGGAGTGTTTTAGATAGGCCAAGTGTAGAATAGATCACACGCTTACATCTTACTCCTAGGAAACTCTTACCAAGACGTACAGCCAGTTTTCCCGATGGAACGAGGAACATTGTCGTGGAAGGATCAATGCACAAAACGCCAGCCTGTTGGGAGAAAACTGAGACTAAGTTATCATCGTAAAATAGGATCTGTTTTCTTCCAGGCGCAAAAGAAGGACGTTGTCAAATGATAAGCTGATGTCACAAACTGAGAGCTTTTTCACTCCGGCGACTTAGTACGTACCTAGTCTAACTGAACTATGTTTAACCGCTTCAATTTCTCGACATCCAACTTATAAAGAACATGTGACATCACAAACCCCTTTCAAATCATAACCAATAAGATGGTAAAACAAATCAATTTATATTTGATTTTTCCGGAAAGTGATGAATAAAATTGCAAAACGCTACACTTGTTCAGTAGATTTTTCCGCAACATTTCACCGGAAATAAAATGTTGAAAGGTTTAGCTGCTGGCCAAATGAACTCCTTCGCATCCGTTCCAAACCAAACTGCGGGATCCGACAAATGAATTTTTAAGGCAAATTTTGGTACCAGACATGTTTACCTTCCCTGATCTTTCAGGCATAAGAAAATAGTTTAGGATTCACATCGCTCGCGCAGCGGAGGGGTTCACGTCAGATGGAGGATGGAAGCGGAGCTGAGCTACTTTCAAGGGTTTTTGATGGAAAAAGAGAAAGGTGAACTTTTCTTTTTCCGCTTGATATTTCGGTGTACACATGGGAAATAATTAGACTATGTAGATCCGGTCCGGCAAATGAAATACATGTAACTAACGCTTAGTTATGAGTGTGTGATTACTGGGTGTTTCAGGGATTTTTCAGGAAACACGAGGGATTACGCGCGGTTCAGCCTCGTTTTTATGGGTTGTAGAAAGGACAGGTGTAACGTAAAAATTACAACCAGATTTTTTCAAACAATGAGACCACATTGTTTCATGTAATGGCATACTGGTCAGGCAAATGAGCTGCGTTTATTACATGTCTGTATTCTCGAGATTTCTGTCCTTTCCATACAGTTCCAATGTAAAATATGACGCCATTTTGTAAGCTAATTTTATGTTGACCGCTGACTTATTGTGAGCGCTTGACCGCATATATTTATTGGCGATGTTTTCAGTTTTGGGTTGAGATGGCATATACGTTAGTTCCCGTGGCCCCTTTTCTGAACGCTTAAATTTTACTTCTATCTGACAAAAAACTCACCGCCTTGGCTTTAATGGCCAGGTGTCTTGTAAAGCTGGTGAATGTTTCACTTTGCTGCCTAGATGCCACCCTCATCGTGCAAAGACTAAGCACATAGTTCCTGTAATCAACTATGAAGATTTTGTTCAAATCAAAATGTGAAATGTGGTTATTTTTGCCCACACTTCCCATTTTGGTAAGAAGAAAATCTTTAACATTTTAAGGAGAAAAAGCAAAATAGGATTGTAGTAGGTGGTATAGCTTAACCTAATTACCGTGAATCGAAGTAAACAACTCCTACACCCAGCTTCCTTTCTATTTATCATGCACCACATCAGGATAGGAAGACTCATCTAATTTTACATGTATTCTACCAAAAGGTAAAGGGTTGCCAGTGTTTTGCCCCGGAAAAACCTGGTTAAGCCAATATATATTGATCTGGAGCAAAACAAACTGCACTATGCGGCGCTGTGTGTGACCAAGGTCACATAACTGCTGGCATAATGCTGGACATCTTTGTGCGATGTACAGTAAGTGCTAATGTGGTCTTTTAACGCGGCTTGGCTTTCCTTAAGTTGTTGTGTTTCTTAATGTCATATACACCCCACACTTAATTCTCCACTCAAATCATATTTTTAAGGATACTAATTCTTATGCAGCGAGGACCATAGAACTCAGATACCACGATGGTAAACAGGATGAATTAAAATACCGTGATGTAGCTTTGATAAACCCTTCGCCAGAGAGGCTAGGTACTAAGAACTAGATTTGAATAATTTGAAAACTTACGAGGCGATCTCCATGCACTTTTCACGTCCCCTGGCAGCAACGCACCTAACTGTTTAAAAAGAATTTTTGTGGAGACATCCAGATACGATTTCCTGCGATGGAAAAGGAAGCTCTTTAAGTAATGCAAAGTAACCGAATTTAAACAAACCCCGAAGTGCGAAAATCACGAGAAAACCGAGGAAAATGTTTGAGGGCGCTCACAACACCAGCTGACGTTTAAGTTGAGTCAAAGGGAAACTCCGTCGAAAAAAAAACAACAACAACAACAACAACAAAAAATAACAAGAAAAGGTAAAACAAAACGGAAAAAAGGAGAAAACTTAAGAGAATTCATCATTTTTCAAGGCTACAGGGCTCACTCACCAAAAGTTGATTCCCAATTTATGTCCCGCTAGCAGTGATACGCATCCTAGTTTTTTGTCCTTACATGTTACAAGGCCTCTCCACGCAAGAATGCCGTCTTCCTCATTAAAAAACGGGGTGAGATCCTATGGTGTAAAATTACGGTTCATAATCTACGCAAATACCTATTAAATTTACTAGTGCAATCCTAATAAGGTTAATAGAAGAAAAAAAAAAGAAAATGCATCGCGCAGAATGCCTGGACATCATCAATTATTCATGATCACTGAAGCGGGATATTTGAATGCAACCCGGCGCGCCTTGAAAAGCCCAAAATAAGAGAAGAAAGGACCGACACTAGCGAAGCAGCGTTGATAAAACTCGCTTTCCCAATAGCTAAAAGCAATAAGCGAGGAGCCCAAGAGCAGGTTTTTGAAGAGCAAGGGTTTATCATTAATTTAAGCTTAAAAAATAGGAAGTTTGAGAAAGTATAAGGACTATTCCTGAGCCTTTGAAAATGACGAAAAAACGGACATTTTTAGTAGGAAGGCCGATTTCAAAAGCGATTTTTTAAATGGAATGTAACACTTTGACGACCAAGTATAAATAGCCTGGAAAACACATCGATAGCATAAGGCAGTAATAAAATAAATAAACAAAAGCATACAGAAAAGGCAAAATAAAAAAACAAAAATAAATGGACTCAAAACGCAAACCTCAAACCTCCACTATTGAAGAACAATTAACATGGGAATTGAGCGTCCCTACCTCAATTGGTAGTGTAGAATCTTTAACAGCGCTAGCTACATTCTCTAAACAGACAGGTGATTTTAATAGGCTCGCCATTTCCTCGCTTCTGTGTAGAGCAATGACGGCAAACGGGAGGCAGTGTCGCGGGCGCTTCGACGGTAGTCCTTCGTCATCATATTCATAGAGGTAATACTAGAAATATAATGGTATAATCGACATGGAAGCATATTTCGATTGAGCTTCGTGAAACCAATACCAAGGTTACCTTAAGGAATAATGAGGATAACAAAAGAAATGATACCAGGAGCACGTAACGACTGCAATCAAAGTCAAGGGATCTTCTTGAGCCATGAGAGAGTATAGGAGCGACAATGTCGTAATTTTAGCTTCGAATACCGCGAGAGGATAGCAGGAGTTGTCAAGACTAATTACGGATCGAAATAAAGCGAAACAGTACGTTTACTGACGACACTAAATGAGGATTCTTCAATCTCCATTTCGGCGGAGTTGTTAACTTCAACGCGATTTTATAACGAAGGTAACAGAAAAGCAAGTGATGGTGCCCTGCTTTTGTGTACATACCCAGTCATACAGATTTCTTTATCACGCAGTTAGAAGAGTACCACGGTGACACAGAGAGTTTCTCCTTAACTAACATCCTTAAAGCAACGCTCAGTTCTACATACTTAAACATGCACTCAACTTATTTCCGTAATCTGCACAAACATTTATTATCATATAATCTTCATCGCGGTGGTTTGTAAGGGCTAAAATACCTGAGTGCTTCGCATGAGTGCGGTCAAGTCTGTCACAGAGGAACAAGCTGTGTTTCTTGACACGTGGCAGTCATAGTTCGGAGAGGGCTCTAACGTGTGACCTTCAGGAGATAACTTTGCTGATACGAACTTCACGCGGCCTTTTACAATCTGAGGTGAAATAAAATGAGAGGGTTAATTTTAGTCACAAGTACCACGATTGCTTGTAGTTGTCACTACACTTGTAGCAACACGACGGGAAGAAAACTCAAAGCAAATATTCGCTTTGTGGAACACAGAGAATGTTTCGAAGATATTTGTGCTTATGAGGCGATGGTATTTTTGCGCGAAACAAGTTGCAAAAATTCAATCTGTGGGAACTCTTGCGGCGAAAAAACGAATACAAATGAAGTTGTCGCGGCTTGGTTTTGAAGCTATGCACTAGTCTTAACCTATGTCGTCGCCAAAAATCTCGTCATCCTCATAACTTCGTTATCATCACTATTATTTTTTAACGTAATGTGATCACCGTCACCATGTTTTCAGTCACTGCCCCTCTCCATTTAACAATGTTTGCCAAACTACTGACATATGTCTGGATAAATCGTGGAGGAAAAAGGATAACTGAATCGACCATTGGCTCGTAAATAATCAGTTTGTTTAACTGAAGTTTAGCTGAATAGTTCAGATTCTACTTTTTTTCACGTCCTCTATTTTCTGAACCCTTCAAAATTACCCAAGAGTTCAGTTTGGAGAAGAAAGAACGTGCATAGCATTTCTCTTTCATTTTTGTTCTCCTTTAGCGAGAAATAATTGGCAAGAAGCAAAAAGACCTAATGGACCTTACGTGCTTTAAGAGCACAAGGTAGTTTCCCATTTCTGTTTTCACTCCTGCACATCAGATCTTTGCTGGATTTTCGTGCCCTACTCCTTAGATGGTAATGTACACACCTACCTTAAATACCATTAGGTACGCAGTTCCAGAAGTGGGCCACCTAAACGCTCTGAGACACAAGTCCGGACACCTCCACACGGTCACACCCATGTATCCATCGCCAAGGGTGTGGTCGACACCATCGCAAACCAAACCTATCCGACAAATATCCCTAACACGACAATCTTCTGTCTCAACACAGAACGCTAACTGTTGCGAGAGCTCCTTGGGTAATCTTCCCTCGTCCCGCATTGACGCTCTTTTTTCATGATATTCTCGCTCTAAGACTAGATTGTCTACCTTCTTTATGTAAGAGATGCTGACAACTCGATCGACGAGGTCGTTAGTGTCCCATGTTAGCCGCTTGATACTTTGTTCGATTTCTTTTGCCTCTCGGGAGTTCACTGGTAAAACGTATTGACAGTCTGAAACAAAATTAGCTTGAGTTCACTTTGGAACCGATTCGGAATTGAAATGGTTTTGCTTCACTTCGTTCTGTCTTTTTTCCAAGATAACTCGGCCAAACTCAGTTCTCCGTAAATCAATAAGAGAATTAAAACTAACCACGACTTCATCACTGTCTAGACAGTTTGTTTGGTTATAAAGCTATTTTGTTTTTAGCTCTGACCTTTTATTGGCTTGGTAAGATGCTAAGATTGGCTGTCGTTATCAATTTGGCTTACGACACTTGATCGAAAGGCCCTCTAACTAATCTTAATTCCTTCATTCTAATCGGCTTAGAAAAATGCAGTTTTCAAGCAGCACAAAGAATTAAAGAGATCGTACAGAGCAGAAAAAATTAAGCTGGTGCATAAAAAGGTAATAAATTGTTAAACAGGACTTAGAGCTTCTATGTGGCTTAAAACTTCTAAAAACAAAGAAATCAAAACATTCTTCACGTGGTTTTTGTTTTGAGTTGTCGCTGTTGCTTTGACCGAACGTTAATTGACATTTGCAGGGTTTAAGTAACAGAACATTTACACGCGATTCGTGAATTTTGCCTCTGCTTAATATTCCACTTGTAAGTCAATCACGTGCAATTTGGTGTAAACAAGCACTCGTATTTTTTCAAACATTCAAGAATTCACTCGCCCTAAGGGTTGGAGTAATTTGTTGATATTTGAAAAAAGAGAAAAAAGTACTCGCATCTGTTTGTTTCAAATTTCCCTCAATATCATGTGATTACCTATACAGACAGAGCATGCGCGCAGAATTACTAATGCTTACTGAGAACTCATGATTTTTTGCAAAGTCGAAAACCCGTCGAAAGCTTCTTTTTTCTTAATATTTATTCATTCATTTATTCACATTTCTTTCTTAGCAAACACAAAACAAATTAAACGGCAAAAATTTCATTGGCCCACTAATTCTGCAGAGACAGGCCTCATCTGGAAAAGTAAACATAATTTGTCGCTGGTTCTCTCTGGAGTAAATTTACATAAACACGGAATTGTTTTTTAATCTAAAGTAAGGACAGGGTTGAAAAGCTGTGAGCGCTACTAACATCTATTTAGCATATTGTTGCTCTAATCTACCACAAGTCACGACTTTTGCAGGTGGGCCCTCAGAGAAATTGAGACGTTAAGTAAACTTTTAATCAATTACAAGTATTCATGAGCGTGCGTTCGATGCCTCACTTAACCACGTCATGGAGATTAAAATTATGCTTTGGTGATAAAACAAGCCAGTTAGCTCGAAATTTTTGTTTGTATGAAAGGGAGTTCAGTATTTAGGAACTTCACTGGTTAGTCACGCATGAAAATACCTCGTTTGTATGGATGTTTTTTAATATTTGGATATTTTGCCAGTGGAGGTAGAAATTGAAATGTACACCGGGTGAATGGTCGGAATTCAAATTAAATATTACTGGAATCACATTGACATTATCGAAACGTTGTCAGCTACATGTTCATGAGCTGTAAACGTTAAATCAGCGCTTTTTCTTCAAGAATATCCAGAATTCTTACAAAATAAAAGATCAATAAAAAAAGAAACTTGAAAAGGTACCAACTAAATTCCGACCATCTAAATGTTTTCATAAGAAATGAGATGGTGTAATAATATAACTATTTTATCAAAAAAAAAACCAACAAGCAGACGGATTTAAGTCACCTTAGTGTTTCAACGGTCGGTTTATAGGGGTTACGGTTTTCGTGTTGTCTTCAAATATGAAACTGCTCAGCTACAGTGGAATAGGAAACTCGTATATCAAGTTCTCCCAGACTTAATTAAATGACATTTTCACTTTCAACCATATTCCATAACAAGTTAGATTTTCTTGGCATTTAATTTCGAATTTATTTTTGGTGCCAAGCACGTACATTTTCAGATTCTACTGTTTTGTGACTGACTACAACAACATTAGAAAAACAAAACATCACACAGCTATGTTTAAGATGTCATTTTAGAGATATAAAAAATAGTAAAACTTCAATATAGGAGACCAACATTTCAGTTTTACTCAGTCAAGTTAAACCGAATCAGTAAACCTACTTTTCTTCACATTCACGAGACCGGCCTTATGTTAAGGTAAGATACTGAAGTATTAGCTGATAAATATTTTGTCTACGGTGGAGAACCCACGGGAAAGCGATGTCAATCATCAATTCAATAAAATTCTCAATTTGGGTACGACAAAATATAATACCTTCTGAAGGCCTTCTTTCTTTCCGTGGGATTGTGTATGCTTTGAAAGACCAACTAGGATCTCGAATATCTGCCATTTCCACGGCCAAACTTGAATGACTTGGAAAAGAATGAAAATATCAATTAAAACACACTTTAAATTTGAAGTTTAAACCTCGATCAAAGAAAGCGAGAAGGAAACAGTGTTATAAGTGCAGCAGGTGAGAAGCTCGCATATTTAGAACCTTACCATGCAAATTTCCACGCAAAAGCTTCAACAATTAAACTCATACACACAAAAAAAAACATATCTGACATATACACCTTTAATATACATTTTCATAAGGGCACCTGTTTCGTTTTACTTATAACCGAACAATGACGTAATCCTTACACAAACAGACGGAATTGAGCTACGCAACGACCAGACATTTCGACACAGATCGTGAATTTCACTCGCTTCTTTCATGCAATAAAATAACTTGAAGTCCTTTCAATAAAATAAAACTGTCAGTTGAAAACATTTACATGCAAATTAAGGGTAAAAAGGAGAAGAAAAGGGAAAGCTGCGACTCTAAAAGCGAATAGTTTAAGCACAATTCTTCTAAACACAGTGCGTAAACCTCCATGTAAATAATGACTTTGTAGCGAAATTTGCGACTAACGCTTTGGCAAACAATAGCAATACAATAATTCTCCTTCAAAATATTTCCCCTTGAGATAAGGCTTTGTGTAAGATAATCGGAACAAAAGGATTTCAGTTTTTCCTACAAAATTGACTCGCATTGGAGCCAAGCTAAGTATAAATGGCTGAAGCGGCAGCGAAATCATAGAAAATTATTCCGTAGACCTTACCAGAATAGCCAAAATCTACCACAGTTGCATTCAGTAAGATGTTCAAAAGCCTTCAAACAAGACCGTCAACTTGTATTCCGATTTCGACAAGAGATAAAAAGAGGAAAAACGCTTCAGTGACAACTTGCTTCAGACAAAACCTGAAAATTTCGACAAGATGGTTGTGGTCGGTTTGTCAACGTCACACTAGGGCAAATTTTCCCGCCAACAAGAGTCGCGGCTGCCAACCTATCAAATGGTGCCAGATCAACTGTTTAGGTCCTTCGTTGTCAAGGCGTTTGACGATATTGGTGCAATATTGTAGCATTCAACAATAATTTGACACGCGCGCGCACACAAACACACACACACACGCACACACACACACACACACACACACACACACACACACACACACGCACACACAAAGACCAAAACAAAGAAAATACTTGAAATAATGTCGTACTTAGCACTAACGGCCAAGACCTTGTTGGTAATAAAATTGATGAAAATTTGTATTTTTCTATATTATTCGTGCTCGTTGTGAAATTTTCCACAGCACTTTTCCTACTATGAAAGCTTTAGTTCGTCACAACAAAGTTGAGATTTTAAAATTTTCTTAGAACCTTTTACCAGTGTACCGATTTTATACAGCTAATGTCCTTAGAGTTTGCACACACTCAGATCTCACAAAAAGTCACAGAGCAGACACATTTTCTTTCGTTTACCTGTTTACTTCAGTTGAGAGGAGCTGAAGAAATCGAGCCTGCTAAGATCAATTTTGAATGGAGGTAATACGATTTTCAAAATAGTTAACCACGCTGGAAGACGAACTGTATGGAACCTTTATTTTCCTCTCAAGCTTAAATGATTCGGCGATTGAAACCTTGCTGTTTTAAACAAATATCACATTTTCGCTCGCATTATCATTTTTCAAAAGTTTTTCGTATTGTTTTAGTGGTTTCATCAATTTCTTTTCTTTCTTTACTTTTTTTGAATATATGTACAGTACAGCTCAGAGGACCATGGCAAACGCACATGCAAATTCTTTAATTTGTACGTTTTCCGCTTTTGCGCAAAACAAAAGTGCAGTTGTCTTAAACGCGTTATTGCTTTTGTTATTCAGCGCAGTCAGCTTGCTTTGTTCTGCATTGTTCCGGCATTCAAAAGTTTCCTGTTTCACAAGCATTAAATCAATATTGGTATATCTCAACATCTAAAGGACGCAATGACTGTAGTTTTTAACGGAACTTCGAAGCGACTTATCATTATTCCACTAGCATTTCGAAATGTTTTGAGAGGCGAATAATAAACTCATACACCTTTTTTTACCTCCAGGGTTTTACTTTCAATTAAAGACAGATTGGTCGAAATACCCTGGCGAGACCCTAAACTGTAAATATAAAAGTCAACAAAACAGAAGAGAAGTACAAATAGTTTTCGGTTAGGCCGAATTATAAATATTAAAAACGAATAGAGAAAACAAGTGTTCGAGCTTTCGTCGCTCTTCAAGATTATCAGAGAACTGAATTATATTTAAAACAAAAAAAACAAAAAAACAAAAAAACAAAAAAACAAAAAAACAAAAAAACAGTGCAAATGAATAAAAAAAAATTAAAGACATTCTTTCCGTGAGAAAACTGTATTCATCGATATCAAGACACTTGTGGGGTTGAAAGGTTGACCACCCTTGAAGGACTTTACCCTACGAGTTACTGAATTAGTTATCACACGTTCCCAAAAAAAAAAAACAAAAACAAAAAAACATTGAATAGTTTAACTTTAAACCACTAAGAGTGACTGCTATTTAATTTCTCCTTACAGCATGCGTATCACCTCTGAATCATACATGAGAATAAAAGAAATTAAATGACTGTTAGCTAAAAAAAAGAAACTTTTGCTCGATTGTTCAACAATACCACCAGGATCAGGGTCCGAAAACCCCACCGTCGTCCATCAAACTCTGTCTCATTTTAAGTTAACATGATTTTTTAAAAGAAAATAAACAAACCAGAAGAACAACAACAACAAAAAAATAATAATAATAATAAGCAAATCAAGTTGAACCACCTATATCACCATGGCCTAGCCTCACGAATATGTTCAATACTTTTCATAAATTAGCGACGACATTTTTACCCAACTTTTATAGAAAAGTGTATAAAGGGGATAATTTTCTGAAGAAACTGTGGTGCTGTATAGATGGGGGTAACAAGATATAATTCTGGTTTTATCCACTGAGATGATAAAGTACATTGGCCACCGTAAAGAGTTTCAAGGCTGACGTTTCGAGCCTTAGGCCTTCGTCGGATCGAAGTTGATAAAACTCAGTTGAGAAACCAAAATTACTCTAATAGAAAAGGCTGGAATTCACTCTCTATACTACACCCTAACATAAGTGTGTTTATTCTCCATACGGCTTTCTAAACGTTTCCTATGGTAGTTACGGGAAGAATTTGCCTAACCGTGAAGAGCTTCTTGACTGGGTAGTCAAGTTTCCTGTTTTCTCGTAACCTTCGTTTTTGAGTTAGTAGTGCTAATGTAAAGAGCAACTAGATGCTAGTTACCCTCTGGAGTTTAAAAGGGTAAATACAGAATTTCATATTAACAATCAACCAATGACATACTATACTATCAATATTTAGCTAGCAGTGTCACAAATGGGCCGAATTGGCACCAAATCAGGATTATGCAAGATTGGACAAACAAAACTCAGTTTATGTGATATAAATGAACGTTAATGAATCTTTTGTCTTAGATGTAGAGTCAGGCCAGCTTGCAGAGCAGCCATAATTTTGGCGTGCGATTATATAGTATTCTCTTGGTGAAAATCATAGCTGCCATCTTTGATTCTTACGGCAGCGGAAGAGCTAGAAATAAATTTGTACCAAAGGGGTGATTGACGGTCAAACAAAGGAGAGTGGAGGAGTGAGGCAATAACTGATTATCGTTAAATTTTCCCCCACCCCCTCCTCTACTGTCCACTTCAACTAAATACAAAATGGTCGGTTGAATAAAATAGCGAGCAAGCTTGTAACGTTAAGACGCTCTGATAAGACGCCAGCCTTGCAGGCTGGAGTCCCGTGATATACTGACTCTACAACGTGAGACAAACAACTTAAGGTTCATTTAACTACAAAACCACGATGAACAACAACATTTCCTATAACGTTTATGTCTTATTGATAAATACAGGGAAAAGGAGGATGTACTGAATGAACTTTCTAAACACATGTGTAGATTAAGGTGATTCATCGACAAAAAAAAAATCATGGAAGAAGTTTTTTTGAACTTTTCTTAAATGTTCCCTTCCAAAGTCTGTTTACAAAAATGCACATAAAGAGATGGGTCACTGTGCTTTCTTAAGAAATACCACAAGCCAAACTTGCCCCTGTCCTTGTACTGGCACTTATCACGCGCGTCATTTCGTCGGTTTACGGTATATTTTGTGGCAACTGGAAGAAAAGGTTTTTGAAATAACACTTGAAAAACAACTTGATAAGTAGAACGTCTCAAGACCATGGACAATTTGATATATAATCTGTGGAAAATCAAGCAATTTTAAACGACATCGACTTGAAACGTTCCTCGAGTGGTTGCTTTCAACGCAATAATTTGCGTCCTCGAGTAACGGGCTTTTTTGCACGCTTTTAGCTATATCTTTTTTCCCTTCGATTTATTTACTCTTAATTTCTCCTATTTAAAGGGGATAATTTGTACGCCAAAATTGTGTAATAAAAATTATAGGTCACCGGACTCGTTCGAGAGTTCTTGGAATGCGCGCGCGATTATTCACCCGATTATGTGAATTTGGTGCCATTGCAATACTAAGGGATCACTTTAACCCTTTTTAAAATTCCCAAGATCTGATTATCAGTTCTCCCCTTCTGGTTGCTGCTCCCTGAGATTTTCTTATAAATCAGTAGTTACGAAAACTTGGTTCTAGGTGAAATAAGTTTGACAGTTTCGTATTACTTGTTTGATGGTTCATGTATGATGAATGTTATTGTCAAGAGTATATCAATGGCGAAGCCACGTGTTAAATCACATCTGCTCAAGTCAGCTCAAATTATATCAGTTTTATACCACGGGACTTATATCAGTTTTGTTATCAGTTCATTTGAAAAATAAGATACTCCTGGTCGTGGCATCCAGTTACTTATACTTTGTCAGAGAATACAATTTCATGTACGGGCTAGAACTTATCAAATTCGATTTTGTATTCTGTTTTGTGAACTCAGCGTCAAGTTTACTTAGACATCGCTCATCCCTTTGATAGGCACGTGTTGCATAAGTCGATCGTCGACGACAAGTGTACACAATGTACATACAAACTTAATGTTAATGGCAATGATTTGAATTTGGGATTCGTTTTTTAAGTATATATACGTACGTGCGATCACTCATTTAATTGCAGCTGTCTGGGAAATTTGTTTCCGCTTTAGTTGAATGACAATGAACGACTTGATATATATGCTAATATCAACTTGATTTTTCCGGAGATAGCTTTAATTAAGAAGCTTTTTGATTAGTTTCAGTCTTGACTTTTTTTTACCTAATACTAGTCTTTCGATAATTCGTACTGGAAAATGTGTTTCTTTGTGGGAAAGTCTAGAATTTAAGTACTATGATCACTCGCCTTTTTTTCAGCGTACCTAACAAAGAATACTTCTATTGTGGTCATCATTTCACAACTTGTAAGGTGTTACTCCATTAGTGGAACGCGAATACTAACGAGTATCCCGCAAGGTATGTGTTTTAATAGGTAGTCCTTTGTGTCCGCAAATCCACTCTCTGCTTTTGTTTTAGACTGTAATCGCGTAGTTACCTTGAATTTTTGTACACGCACTATTGTTAAACTTAAATGTTTCTCAATAAAATCGTACCTAGTAATTTTCATATTGCTGACGTTGGTTTATTTAGACGAGGCAACCCACAAACGATATTGAAAATTTGTCACTAAAGAGATTTTGACAGTGCGTAGTGAATATGCTAACCATCCTCTTACGCAAGCGTAGTACGGTTGCGAACTACTGTGAAAAGCAGCACGCTAGCCTAATAGGTTAATTATCGTTTCATGAACGCCCGTCAGTTCTTCTCTGGAAGGTTACTTCAAAAAAATGTCAGCAACAACTTAGCCGGCTCAGAGATCAGTTAAGAAGTAGGCTGAAAACAGTCAAAAATACCAGTTGAACTACAATGAAGGCATACAGAAGTTCAAGATACAGGCGCTCCTCTCTCTCTCTTTTGTTTTTCTTCTAGTAGGG